AATGAAAATTTCATTTGTTTTACCGAGCTACTAATACAGCAAATGATTTTGCAGTAAGCATTTTTCAAATACTATAATAAAAAAATCCAAACATTATTTTTAAATGATCTTGTATTCTACTGTTGAATTAAACAACTATTGTGAAATAAGGGGCATTTGGCATTTTCTTTGACAGTTTTCAAACATAACTGCAGTATCGAGATTGATTTTCCAGACAGTATCAACCTATACATTTATTCTGTATCATAATTTAAATTATCAAATAATTTAACCTAGAATGTTTTAAAATCCCCAAATAAATATAAACATTTCCTTCAATATATATGCTTCCTAATTATTATGCCTACTGGCATTAAATGCCAAATTTTAGTAAATTTATAGTTGTAAGTTTACTGTTTGTGTATGGAAGGTAACTTTTCTTTAAAAAGCTTCCATATCTTTCAAATTATGAATGTAGAAAATATGCTTTTGAAAGTAGTCTTTCAGTAGGGAATGACAAAAAGACCAAAAACCATTTGCATTAAATTTTCTCTTCAAGTTCGGGCATTAAAATCCACTTCACACTGAAAGGCAACCTGTACACCCACCAACTTGCAGATTTAACAGAATGTGTATTACAAGACTGAATGCTGTCGCTTTTGACAAAGCTTCTAAATTGTATAACATTTGACACCAATGTTAGGACTATACTTGCCTTTGCAAAGTTAAAAGCTTTAAAGCTTGATTTGGTATAAAACACCTGAAATTTGTGTGCCTGGAAAGAAATCGATATACGATAAAGATGAAAAAGGAATCTGAGCTATCCTGTAAAAACTTAGCTCCCATAGAGGACTCAGAAGCTCAGCATATTCAGAAAATACAACATATATGTGCATTTTTTATTATCAATTTATGCCACTTCTCCTAATACAGTATGCCTTTGTATGCACGGGAAAACATTCCTTGCGAAGTATTTAAGCCAATACTAAATGGAAACTGTAAGGCACATGGAGAACAAATCCGAAAAAGCAGAAAACTCACATCTTTATTGATGTTTATTATTTTTAAAATATTAAGTGTTGATTTTGTTTTAAGAATCATTCTAGCAATTACTTAAGTTTTAAATAGTTTTAATCGATGACAACAGTTTTTCAGAATACCTTTATATAGTTCATTATATCTCCCAAAGGTTATTTATTCTAATAACAAACATTACAGTCTATTTTTTCCTACTATAGCTCCCTAGTATATATACTTTGAAAACATGAGACTTATTTTGAACTATTTTGAAAGAACTATATAGAATCTGGAGGAGAGGATGCCCTTATTCAATACACACAGACCGCATGGTTTAGCTAGTGGCCCCACTGAGTAGACCAGATATTTGTTGCATAATCATTATATCAAACACAAAAGATTCAGGATATGGCCCGTGAATCCCTAATACTCTTTGAAAATGATCTCTTAGAGATTGATCATTCAAATATCTTTCACCCTATCTCACATCTTAGAAGTGCTTGATTTTATTTGTCCTCAAACAGGCATTTTAAAGCTAACTTTATAGGCTTTTATCTTTGAGGCAGAGGATGCTGGTTATTTAAAAAGGATTTTCCCAAACTGCACTCAAGAACTTGGCAAAATGTTAATGGATGTCTCTATAGGAAAAGCATTCCAGAATGAAATGTTTGGTACACATTGGAATAAACAAACATAAACAAGTTGTTCTAAGGGAGAATTTCTCAGAACCTTAAAAACAATAAAGCGTACCGTTAATCATTAATAGGGAAATGTAGCAGTGTTTGGAAGACACCGGTCTACACTCCACAGAAGGCTGTGTGACACCCTGCTCATTTCAGATGCCTTATCTTGACATTTCCTTGGTTCATCACATAGTTGGACAGAGATTGACACTGCTATTTTAAGTGCCTACATACTACAGTTTTATATGGTGAATAATATTATGTCATGTGGCTTTTTCCTATAGCCCTGCATGACAATACTGGGTACTTGTTTAACTTTTAGGGTACGAACAAATGCTATGATGTTTTCTAAATCTTTTGTTGACTTCCAGACTGAAATTCATCCAAGACAATGTATAATAAAACAGTTCTCCGTCATAGGAACATTTGAACGAAGATACATATATGGAACCAGAATATAAAAATAGGTTTCAAACTCTTGACTATAATCTTGAGTGGGTGGTCTAGATATTTTATTTTAATGCAGTCTTGGAAGAGAATGTAGTCTGTACACATGATGGGAACTCAAAAGTTGCTACTAATCATGACATATAAATATATCCTAACATCACGACCAATTGGACCTGTTCACCTTTTCACCATGAACTTGAAAAACTAGAATTTAAAAATCTATGCAGATGTTAGCTACTAAAATAAAAGAAGAAATGAGAAGAGGCCCTATATTGAAAACGATCGATGTTCCCCACAGTGTTAGAACAGGGAATACGGGAATACTTAAAGCTGAAGTGCCTGCACCCTTGTTCTGATCAGTGACACATGGCATTTTTACCTTGATGTTATCTTGTTCTTTTTCCTTTTTTTCCCCAAATCCTCCTCTCAGTTTTCAACCACATGGTTGATGATGGAGATAAGAGAGAGAGAGAGAGAGAGAGAGAGAGAG